AGACAATGCCCATAATAATACTGTTGAATCTTAGAACATTTGATTCGTAAATAAATCTACATATTCTTAATAATTAACTGATTCCACGGCTTCCATATAACAGAGTCCTTCACTCAGGTGGTCTAGAAATTTGTTATTTAGTCAAAATATTCTTTTTTATATAGAACTTTTTATTTTACTGAAGACATTCAGTCTTACCCGTTGAGGAACACTTACCAATGTTTACCTGCAATTCTTGGTATTTTGTAGTGTCCGTGAGGAAAAGCATCAACTATAAGAAGGACGCCTATTTCTACAGGTGTCAGGTGATACAGCATTCCTTCTCTTATCACCAGCCTCTGCCCAACACATTCATTGGTGACAGAATCATCAGCCGCACTGTTCAACACTGACAACTTTACACGTCTTGTAAGAATTGAGGGTTTCAAGGCGGTGACTATGAAGAATGCCGTCTTCCGGGATGTGGCGCCCTGCAGATATTGTATAAACCGACGTTTCGGAGGAACGTATCGCCTATATTTTCAGTGTATAAAAATCCGTGAGCGAGGAATCATCGTGAGCAGGTGGCTGCAGACTGCAAATCTACACGGAGCCACATCCCAGAAAACGGCACTGTTTAAACGCCTGGTTCTCGAGAAAGAAACAAATGTGTACCCGCCTGAGGGCACGAATACAGGACTCTTGCAGAGAAGCAAGGGTCAAATTGAGCAGTGAGAGAATATCAGAAGTGAAGCACACACGAATTGTCTTCTAGAGGAAGGAAATGCAGGGCTTTATGTTTACGCAAAGATTTGTGGAAACATTTTTTTTTTTGCTCAATAATAATTTACAGAAGGGGAAATAAAAATACACTATTCAATATGTGAAGTGGAAACAGAAAAATATATTACAATATCCTGCAGTTTACATTAGTATCGAAAATCGAACGGTCAGCATCCTTCCTTAATTTACTGGAGATCCTGGGTTCAGATCTCAACCAGGGGACGAGATACCCTAAGTCCTTCAAGCAGATATGAGGACAGCGCTTCAAATTAGACCGCCAGTCACATTATTCATTGATCATCTTATCATTCGACATGCACGTCTGTAATGTGTGTTTGAGAGCACAGTTAAGATAAATAAACTACAAATAAATAAATAAAATAAATAAATACTGTAACAGATTTCATCAACATGTTGCCAGGCAACAGCACTGTAAGCAGGGTCCAATACTCAACAATATATGAGACTGTGCCGAGCAGCGGTGACGGGGATATGCAACCCGCTTCTAAGCAAAGGCTCGCTAAACACATTTCCGTGTATCGGACCCTGCTATGAAAATGGTAACGTCATCAACAATAGAAGCGGCTATGCAGAGTGCTTATAAGAGAAGTGAATGTGGTGACAGTTAGTTCAAGGGAAGGTATGAGGCAGTCGTAAGCTGGAAGAGTGACTTGAGTTCCGAAGTTCCAGAGGAAGAGAAGTGTGGCCAGAGGAAGAATTGGAAGAATTAGTGTGACGTTACATGTGCTGTAGCACATAGATATTAGGAATGTGTGTAATTTAGTAGACTTTCATAGTTCCTGTGCTATAAATCTGCGAACACTAGTGAAGATAGACTGAAGAGCTTGGAGTGTTTTTAGCGTGAAAATCAGGATCAGCGTAACAACTATTTGTAGTTACGAGCTGTAGGTGGTTAATAAAGGGGCACGCGGTAGCGTAGTTGGTTGAGGCACTGTGCTACAAGTCGGAAGGTTGCGGGTTCGAGCCCCGATGAGATGGATTTTCTTCAATTGACCTAATCCTTCCAGCCGCACTATGGCCCTGAGATCGACTCCGCCTCTAACAGAAATGAGTACCAGGATTATTCCTGGGGCTAAAGGGCGGCTTGTTGCAGGGATAGCTTTACGTTCAGGTGGTTAATGAATCCAGTTACCAATCCGAACCCCGTCTTTAGTCCTCATACGCGTGATGAAAATATACATTAATACAGGAAACTTCAGTGTGTGTTGTGAGTGGCCCGTTTTGTGGTTCCGTCCGTAAGCTCCGCATACAGCTACTGCTACACATACAGTGGGCTTATGGATTCTACACAAGTTTGATCTGTTATTTCTTTTTATACCCTACTTCATGTTACCGTCCTTGTCATTATTAACATCATCAAAGTGCAACTTTTATTTATCTAATATTTATTTTTTAAAACATCCCTAAAATAATTAACAAATCAAACATGTGAATATGTCTAATAGGAAAATATATTAATTTCGTTAATTACAAAACATAAAATAAGAGGGCGAATTATTTATATTCGGGGTCGAAATGGTGAAACTTTGCGAGAAGAATTAAATGCTTTTTCTAAAATATCGTAACAGATTTGCTCAAAGAGTTTCTAGGCAAATGCTCAGTAAACAATTTCCAACGTGGGACAATAGAAGACATGTCTCAGTGGACGAATAGTATAGCCCGTTACTAGGCAACAGCCAGCGCGACAATGAACTCCCTTACTAGGAATGAAGTGACTTGTGTTTTCTGTGTTCTCCGTACGGAGTCTACGTATATAACGAAGATCTTTTGTAGCTTAGGTTAATGCAGGTTAGTGCAGTGTAGTTAAGAGTCCAGAAGAGTTTTGATGAGTTCCAAAGTTGCAGGGTGATTGAACAAGAAATGACAAGAAGACATCCTAGTGATCTGAAGTGTTAGTTTCTGTGTTGAGATTCGTTGCTAGGGGCCGACTAGTGGAAACTGGAAATTCTAGTGCTTGTGCAATGGTAAACTGTAAATTGTATAAAGCAGGGACAAAGTTATACTAATTGTAATTAAGAAAATTTGTAACTGAAGTGCTAAGAAATCCAATCATCCGAAGTAGAACCCGTTATTTTCGTCACGCGTACCCCAACAAAGTGACAATATGTTAGGCTAAATACATTGATATAAATTATTTGTACTGGGACGAACACGTTCTATAGCAGAAAAATCTTGTACTTCCGGCCTCACTCGACTTTTCGACGGATATGGTAAATGTGTGTAACAAAACAAACTCCGTGGTTTTAGTCCGTAAGCCAATTATACCGACCGAGCGACCGCCGCTTTTCGGCGAAGTTAGTGCCAACTTTTGCGGATAGAGAGTGTCATGTGGTCAGCGCAACGGTCGTTAATCTTGGTTTTCTAGACCGGAAATATGTGTAACAGGAATCCAAAATATTGCATTTTCGTTCTCTCCATTTCTATTTACTTATTCATTTATTTGTTTCATTATTTTATTTGTGTATTTATTTTATGAAATTACAATACATTTTACATATGTATCATAATATAACTGTTGTAGTGCTACATTATTTATAATATAGTCATTCATTCATCAGTAATCTGTCAAGACNTGATCTTCTCCAGCCTTCTCCAACACCACATTTCGAAGCTTTCCAGGTGTTTCTGACCTACTGCCCTAAGTGTCCAAGTTTCAGCTCCATGCAAAGCAATGCTCCAAATGTAGCATTTCACTAGTTTCTTTCTCAAATTTAAGTCCAATTTGCTGGTAAAAAGATTCTTCTTCTTGCTAAATGCAGCTTTTGCCATTGCAATCCTGGATTTAATTTCACTAGTACACCTTCCATCATCTGTTAACAAGCTACCCAAATATTTAAAACATTTCACATTTTCCAGTTGTTTTTGGTCTATCTTTATTGTGACTGGGGTTGGTTGTCTCGAAATTTTCATTACTTTGTTTTTTCCACATTCATTTCCATGCCATAGCACCTTCCAATTTCATTTAGTCTCTCAATCATGCCTTGTAGCACAGTTTCTTCCTTAGCCATTAACACAAGGTCATCTGCATATTTTACAGTTTGAATAACTTGCCCTCCTAATTTGAACCCTCCAAGCCCGTCCAGAGCTTCTTTGGTAAGGCATTCGCTGTACTAGTTGAGCAAAAATGGTGATAAACAGCATCCTTGTCGAACTCCTCTTTCAATCTGCACACTTCTTGTCTCCCCTCTGTCCAGTCGTACTCTAACTTTCTGATCAATGTACAATTTACTAATCAATCTTCTTTCACGCCAGTTGACACCTGTTTCTTTTAGGATCTGCATTAATTTGGTCCAGTTTACACGGTCAAATGCCTTCTGCCAGTCTATAAAGCAAGCACACAGTTCTTCATCTGTCTCCAAAGTTCGTTATGCTATAATTCTCATCATCCCAATTGCATCCCTGGTTCCTTTTCCTCTTCTAAATCCAAACTGATCTTCTCCAAGTATATCCTCCATTTTCCTTACAATTCTTCTTTTAAGTATCTTTGCTGTGTGTGCAATAAGGCTTATTGTGCGATGGTCGCTGCATTTTGTAGCTTTTTTCTTTTTCTTTAAGGCAGTCATTGTCACTTCTGTAAAGTCCTTGGGCCACTCCCCAGTTTCATATATGGTGTTTATTAGTTTTGTCCGTGTTTTCAAACCACCTTCTCCCAGTAACTTAAGAACATCTCCAGGTACATCATCATCTCCTGTAGCCTTTCCATTCCTCATTTCCTTGATAGCTTTTTCCACATCTCTTTGTAAAATATACGGTCGTTTCCCGTCTGTATCTACTTCTTCTTCCGCTTCCACTTCCAAGGTTTCTGGCCGATTAAGTTGATCATATAGTTCTGTAATATAATTTTCCAAAATTTTCAGCACTTGCCTCTGATCTATTATTCTATCCCCCTGGGAGTCTTCGATGCCAATATTTCGAACCCCATAATTCTCTTTCCATCCTAGTTCTTTTGTCTTCATGTACATCAGATCATAACGTCCTGTTCTTTGAAATTCTATAATCTCATTACATATATTCTCAAGATATTCCTTTTTGGCCCTGTCCGTGACTCTTTTCAATTCATTCCTCAGTCTCCTGTATTTCCTCCTGCTCTTCTTCATTGTTTACATTCTTCCATTAACTCCATTAACTCCATTCTTCCAATATTAACTCATTTTCGTTTGAATTTTGCCAGCTCCTGACCGATATCCACCTAACGCCACTGCCGTTCTCTGCTGCAGGGCGCTGCACATGAAGGAGCACCCCGACTACAAGTATCGCCCCCGGAGGAAACCGAAGTCTCTCATGAAGAAGGAACCAAAATTCGGATTCTCACTGTCGCCGCTTCTGTCGTCTGGAATGGATCCCCTTCACGGCATTCCCCGGTCACTGCTTCCTCCCTTACCAGTGCCTCCCCCTGGCCCACACCCACCGCCTCACCCTCTTCTAACAGGAGAATCCGACTTAAAATTCCCGCGGTCTTTATTCCCACCCTTTCCATATCCCCTGTACCCTCTTCATCACGCAGCAAAGCTGCATGCCGACGACCTGGCTTCGACTTCAGGAGGTGGCAAGACAGCGGCGGACCTTGCTTTCCAGGCGCTGTACGGCAGTTCTCTGTACTCGCACGCGGCAGCTGCAGCAGCTGCGGCAACCTGGCCAAACAGTTTGGCCGCGGGTGCTCCCTGTATGGTTCCGTGCAGTTGCGGGCCCACCACAGTACCCACGACAGCGACCGACCCATCGCCGGGCTCCCCCACGCCTTCTGACCCTGGCATCAAGCGGCCGGTGGCGTACCTGCTAGTGAAACCAGAGGATCACTACGCAAGTTCGGCGGCTGCGTCTCCGCATGTTATCTGAAGGCCTCTCCCCGTTCTCCCGGACTCGGCGCGGGGGAACCTGGGGAGCCTGCTAGCTGCCGGGTCTGACTGCGGGGCCGCGGTGGGGTGGTGGGGGCTTCACGGACAATTACCATCCACATCTTCCACAGCGTCGACCGCACCTGCTCCCTCAGGAACGCCTGAAGACCAAGACGAGCGTCCGAGCTCAACCAACAGCAGTCAGTAGAATTGATATACAAGACGATATCGCCAGCATCACGAGATGGTTCGTCCGTAAGAGGACGTTAAGCCCCCTCAAACAAGTGCGGTTTTATTTCAATTCGAAATGGAACTCTCCTTCGGTTCCGGAGTTCATTTTGGCGAAACTGTCGGCAACAATGCGAGTGATTCTTTATCAGAATTTGAACGAATGAGAAAGAACGGCTTTCTCTGTATCTCTGCATTAACGTACATACCCGGGAGCATGGCAAGAAGACGCATGGACCGTTCAGGAAAGGCCTTACATTGAAACATTTCATAATTAATTTATGATTAACAATAATGTCGGATATCTCAGTAGTATAGCGATGGGCTACTGGCTGGGCGGCCGGGGTTAGATTCCCGGCAGGGGCAAGACAGTTTTCTCTGCTCTACAGCGTTCAGACCAGCTCTGAGGTTCACCCAGCTCTTACCAAATGGGCACCGGGAGGTCTGTTCCCCGAGGTAAAAGCAGCCGGGGCGTGAAGCTGACCACTCACCTCTTTCTAGTGCCGAAGTTAAGAATGGTGGAACTATACCTCCACTGTCCCAAACGTTTTCATAGCGTGGTGCTTAGTTAAGCAGAGAGGCAACTTAACCTTTTCACTTTCGACATGTTGAGCTACTTCCCTACTAATGACCTAAACACCATCAAAGTTCATAAATGTCAACCGAGTTCAGTTTCTTTTTCATTTCGCTTTATTTAGAACCATTCTGAGCCCCAAGCTGCAGTCCGAGCTGACCCGGCACAAATGTCATGCAAGTTGCTGTATACTCGTGTTCTTCTGTTGGCTCTGCAAAGCACTGGAGGAGTGTGGGAGGGCGGGCAGAGAACAAGGCTTAGAACTTTCTTCGAACGCAAACAAATGGCTAGTTCCGCTTTCTTACAAACCCGTATCAACAAAATCATGAATCATTCTCGATTCAGGGGCGGATCAATTGATCAGTACGGATCAATTGATGCACTTACAGAGTACTTCCACACTTCACAATCATCGCCTGTGGTATATTTTAAGAAGTATTATATTTTGGAGAACGGGCTCAAAATATATATTTGCATAAATTCATTTATGTCGCTTGGCGTATTATCTTATTCATATAAAAGAAGTAAATGGCCTAAGATGTGTGTGAAGTAACAGTTCTTAAATTACATGTACCAAACTTCATATAAAAGCAGATAATTCAATAAATTTTCAATGGAAAATAATATGTCTTTTTATCATATTAATAACGTGTTTCCATTTCCTAGCGATACTATCAATATTGCTGTTTTGACAACTGGAAGAAATAATCGAGAGGTTGATAGTCATTAGGAGAGACTGAGCACTAGAATTTCTATTATCGGCTATACTTTACGTAGACCTATTGCGTTCATAAAGCGATTCCTTGAATTACACACGGAGTGTCCGAAAAATAATTCTGAGACTTCTAGAAACGGTACTTAACAAAAAACAGATGCATATTCAAGAAATTAAAAATTTATTTTAAAATGTACCACAAATAATTTTGAACATAATAAGTTTCCACATGCGTACCATCCGTGGCCCTGCTTAAGTCCAACCGATATTCCGCCATCTTGTCTACACGCTGTAGCATGTCTCTCGTTACATGCTCAGCGGCCTCTTTTATGCTTGCTTTCAAATTATTCGGGTACCGAATTTTGTTCATATAAAAATAATTATTTATACAGCCACAAAATAAGAAGTCAAGCTTTGTCTAACAAGAGCTCCCAGGCGGACTGAACCACCTCTGCACTAAGAACTTGCACATGTCTTGAGAAATGCGGCCGTGCGCCATCTTGCTGGGGGTCGCCTGTGAAACTCTTCGAATGGAGTAACAAAGAGGTACAACATTCAATGCGATGCCTCTTATATATTTCAAGGCAGATCCTTCCGAATGCCTACCAGCATTTTCCAACATAGCGCATTCCGTTCCGAACCGAGAAACTCAAATTGCTAGTTAGACGAAGTGTTAAATTACGTTAAATTATATTTGTATCTGTGGACATTCACAACTTCTCGGTTGCTTTACCATATTAATAATGAAACAAAAATCGATCACAGAAAATCGAACAAAAGAGATATATCTATCAATGTAACGACAAATACGTAAGTATTGTTGTTGAAATAAGGAAAAATAACTTCAGAAGAAAAGAGAATATTTCTCCCCAAATCGCGTTGCCAAACACTTTATCAGTCCTGTATTAAGATATAACGAAATATTTTATACGGTATTTTAGTGAAGTTCAACATATCACAACACCATAAATATACTATTAAAATGATGTAATAATGTTAATCTGCCGATTGTTTATGCTACGTTTAGCAGAAAGTACTTCGTAGTGGAAAACAGGTATGGTGTAACATAGGTTTGATAAATATTTACAGCCTTTACATCTGCATCTGTGAAGTAAGGGAATGTGCAGGGTGACACTGACAATTAGCAATGTGTGTCAAGGAGGAAAAGAAATGAGACTGCCGCGTACCTTGGAATACAGCAGATTCTGTTTATCCTTAATCAGATATTTCTTTACTGATAAGCGTTTAAGAACGTTCATAAATATTACCATTTATATTTCAAAATAATGATGTTTTATTCGTGCGAAATATATGATATAATTTCTGTTTGCTACATAATTAACATATGAAAGTAATATGCTCAAATATTAGCTGTCCTAAAGTTGTGTTTACATTTCTACTATTCTACATTTCATTGCTACATCAAATGTTATATATTATTTTTATTTTAATATCGCCAAACATGTTATATCGATTCCCGTTATATAACAACAGGTTATTCTTAGAAGTGAACCAAAACATATGCTTCTTTCAGGATATTTTATGTTCCATTACTTAAGAACTGTTAGAAGGTAACACTTTGGTACCGCCACACGCAGATGCCCTTGGCTATCAAGTGCAGATGTAACTGCAGTCTGCACTCGGTCGGTTCACTGCCCGACCGCTTTGCGGCAGGGGGCGCTAGAGCCGGTCTGGATGTGGTCGCGAGATGCAGATCTCGGCACCCACAGAGATTCAAACCCCGTCTAATTGGTTATCCAGGCTACGTGCTTCCCACGAACATTATCTGAATTATTTTTGGCTTGCTTCACTATCGCCATCGCCTTGCGGAAACTGCTATTCTGCTATCTGTCCTCAACGCACACAACGACGCCCTCGACAGCTCGCATTATTGAGCGAAGAAAGGACATGATGATTAGTGAATGCGGGAGAAAGCGGTACTTGACACAAGCAGACTACTCTGTGCCTTGAATTCAACAGAGTGAGGAAAACGACAGAAGATTCTCAGTCAGAACTTCCGGTCCCATGGACAAGGTTCGTAGCCGGGACCTCCCGAGCACGAATCTGAAGTGATATTGACTTGCAGTGAAATGCCTTTAGGACATTAAGGGAAAAGTAGGGCAGGAAGGTGATACGAGACACTGTTTAGTTAATAAAATAAAATCACATATCCTTCGGAGTTTGTGATAAGAATTAATCATAGCATTTAGTAACATAAACGATAGAGTGAAGACAGCCGAAAATGTTATAAGAATGATGCAGATCCAAACAAGTAATGATCGCGAGAAATTTAATTTTTAAGAATGGGTAAAATTTATGCCGTTCTTCCACAATCGGTGCAAGCAAAAATATTTCGTACTTGAGTCTATTCGCAATTAAATTAGCATAATTACATTTATTTTCATTTGTTTTTGTGCCATGACATTTTGTTTCCTTCCAAATAAAAATGGAACATCAGTGGTTGTATGTGAACAAGAAATTGGGCTTTGACTGTCTTGCGTATGCGACAAAGTTTATTTTAGGGCCTGATCTGCCTGAACACATGTTCGGAATAACCAGTAGAACACTGCTAATAATTGAAATGTGTATTTCACGACATAAACATCAATTACCTTCTTGTCTAACGTCCAGCGCCCTTACAAAAATATTATACGCTGCTGAATTCTTGCTTCCAGTTTTCAAAACTTTTTAAATCAACCAAAATAAATGTAATCACTTTTCTCTCGAAATACAAGGAAAAAATATATTTAATACACAGAGTGTCCGAATAGTCGAGAATCAATGGCGTCTTTAAACTATCTGTTTTGCATTTCATTCGAAATACGTTCGAAAATGAAAGTTCAAGCTGTTGTGAATGTGTTTTAGCAGTTTTGGACTGATGGAGGAAATTTCTGCTTGAATTCGTTGCTTTAAATGTTCCACATTATATCACTGATTCCAGGCACTTATGTCCAGACACCCCGTGTATCTGCGGGGGAGGGGTGTAACTTTCGTCGAATGTAAACACTTCCTGGGCCAGCAAACTTAATACTTGACAGCGACAAATAAAATGACGAGTTTCTACTATCTTTGCTGAATATTTGAGTATCTACAGTACATGTACGTGTTCTAATATCAAAAAGCTTTATATTTTGCCCAGACAGTGCAGTTATGTACACAATATGATACTGAGAATAAACAGCAATTGTATCCTTAGACATACACTTGTTAATCTGCTGGCCTTTGTAATGAAGAAGCACAGTTCCCTCTGACGTACAGTACTACACAAATGCTTTTCAAGCTTTAAAGAACTAAGAGAGAAATTACACATTCCGAATAAGCTACGGCCTATATCAAACAATAATTTTATTGTAAGATTTGAGGTTTCCACGGCGGTGACTATGAAGAAAGCAGTCTTCTGGGATGTGGCCCCGTGTATATGTGGTGTTAACCGACGTTTCGGAGGAACCTATCGCCTCCATCTTCAGGGTAGAAGGAAAAATAAGAAATCCGCAAGCGACAGAACCGGTACAAGTATCGGTTCTCACGGTATCTTTGCTTGCGGATTTCTTATTTTTCCCTCTACCCTGAAAATGGAGGCGATACGTTCCTCCGAAACGTCGGTTAACACCACATATACACGGGGCCACATCCCAGAAGACTGCTTTCTTCATTAATTTTGTTAATGAAATTTATGCAAGAGTATATCAAACCTGAACACATAAAGTACATGAAACAATTTTAATAAATCTCATATATTTTTGTATCAATTTCCGTGGAGAAATTACGGGCATGAAATCAGCAGTGTATCTGAACGCAGCTTCCCTCTTCTGATTGTGACAAGAAAGAGTTAAGGCATTTAAGCATTTCTGGTTCTTTGCTATTTG